AAAAAATGAACAAAAAAAAAATAGAGAAATGTAAATTATTAATTAATATAAATTAATTTACATAAATTATGATGTTATCAAAATAATCCTCAATAAATTTGAATTTCCCACTACACAGTAAAAAATTTTGCGTCAAAAAATGTTGTGTTAGAAATTTTTGTGTTAAATATTTAATACTTTTATGTGTAAATTTAACATTTATTGTGTTAAACTGACACAAAAAAGTGTTAAATATTTAACATAAAAATTTTTAACACAAAATTTTTTGACGTATTGACGCAAAATTTTTTACTGTGTAAATAAAATATGTTTATTTATTTATTTAGTTTTGTATATGTCAATGGAATAAAACAAAAAATTTCGACCAACTAAAAAAAATTTTTTTTACACACTTTAAACGCAAAACAATGAACAGAGTTTTATACACATAATCTCTCATCCATTAAAATTGGTCTTGATGTAATACTTATTAATGATAGTTATTAAATAAATTATCATGTAGATAATTTATTAACTGACAATATTGATAGAAATTATATTAATAAATGTTATTTTATAAAACATCAACCTTTAATGACGCAATACTTGTAAGAATAATTTTATCCACAGATTCGGTAGAATCTGGCGCCAAGTTCCGTTCAAATCCGTTGTCAACGGAGCGCCAGACTCCTTTGGTGTGCGTCATATTGTGTATTTCAATTTTTTTAAAGTCCTAGTAAATAGATTTTACGAATTTAGTTAAAAGTAAAATATTTTGCAACCGCGCACACTAAATACGTTCCAAAATTGTTTTTTTAATTTTTAAATTTACTACAAAATTTTTTTTAATTTCCGAAATTCATAAACAATCATATCGGTTACTTGGGTTTTTTAATTTTTTTATTTTATATCTTTTTGTAAAGAAAAAACTAATTTTTTTTTTCTTAATAGTCTTATGAACGTGGACTTGGCGCGATTTTTTTTACAGTGAAACTGTTTTTGTTCGGATTCTCATTATTATAATACTACAATCAATATGGCCGACTTAACCTCGCTTGGTCGACACGAATTTTTAGGATAGATAATTATGAGAAACTATACTTTTTATAATTAATAACATTACTAAGGTAAAAGACCTAGTTATTGATACTTGCAATTTTATTTTAATTAAAAAAAATAAATCAACTCTGATAATTTAATAAATATTATATTTGAATTATAAATTTTAAGATAATTGGTTTTTTGAGAACATTTTATTTTTTTAATTAGAATAGAATTGCAAGTGTCAAACAACTAGGCCAGTGAAAATAACTGGGTTTTCTACCTTATTATAAAAATTGATTTATAAAATGATAAATTGATTTGCTAAAATGAGTTATAAATTTGTTGGAGATGATAAATTCCACTCTGGCAACTTCTTTTGCATCCAAGAATCCATATAAGTAAGGGTGTAAGGGGAAGTAATATTAATGATTAATATTTTTATTTATAATTTATAAATTATTTAATTTACAGAAATAAATATTTAGGTAACTAGACTCAGGCAGGAGGTAAACTAATAACTAAAAAACACGCGTTCACTGTAGGAGGGAAATGACAAAAAAAATAGTGGCGCCACCGTCACGGTTGCTATGGTAACATAGAATTTAGTTTTAGTCCTGTTAAAAAACTTGGCATTCTCAGATTTAAAATACCAGTTTTCTTAAATCTAAAATATTTAACTTGACTTTTACTTCGTACAAGAAAACTCGACTAAAAAATATTCAGTATTCCGGGTATAAAAAAACTTTTTTTTCAGTGCATGCAACATAATTGTAGGTATTACCAAATTTAGAGTTACCATTAATCATTTTGTAGTTTTTGAGGCTACTTTACAATATCATCTTATTTGTGAATGTAATATCTCAGATAGTATTTATCAGAAACTTTTTCTCATTCATGACTGGTATTGCAGCTGGGGCGATTTTTTACCAATCTTCATTCAATCACTATTTTTAATTTCACGCTGTAAAAATCGGGAAGTTATTAGTTTTGACCCGGTGTGTGTGTGTGTGTGTGTGTGTGTGTGTGTGTGTGTGTGTGTGTGTGTGTGTGTGTGTGTGTGTGTGTGTGTGTGTGTGTGTGTGTGTGTGTGTGTGTGTGTGTGTGTGTGTGTGTGTGTGTCTGCATGCGCAGTAAATCGACGCGTCGTCGTGTGTGTGTGTGTGTGTGTGTGTGTGTGTGTGTGTGTGTGTGTGTGTGTGTGTGTGTGTGTGTGTGTGTGTGTGTGTGTGTGTGTGTGTGTGTGTGTGTGTGTGTGTGTGTGTGTGTGTGTGTGTGGGGAATCCCGGAAAAAATAGACGGGAAAAAATAGACGGGAAAAAATAGATGGGAAAAAATAGACTGGAAAAAATAGACTCGGAAAAAATAGACCGGAAAAAATAGACTGCGAGTAATCGTGTTGCGCCCTTTTAACATGGCTTGAATGTGTGTTTTATTCGTAAATAGATCAACACAAACGCGGGTAATCGTGTCGCATCCTATTTTTTCTGGGTTTAATTTTTCTGGGTCTTTTTTTTCGCGTTTATTTTTTCCGGGTCTATTTTTTCCGGTCTATTTTTTCCGGTCTATTTTTTCCGAGTCTATTTTTTCCCGTCTATATTTTCTGATTACCGTGTGTGTGTGTGTGTATGTATGTATGTATGTGTGTGGTCATACTACTCACACTGAAAATTTTCAAATTATCGATTACACCCGTAAAACCACGTTAGGAATGGTGAGTATCTTGACTCTTTTCAACGATACGTATACTTTTCAGAAGATCCCAGTAGGTACTTCTACTTGATAGAGTTAGGAACATTTATAGCAAGATCGAAAAGGCAAAACACCAAGCCCATTTCTTCTTTGTTTACGAAGAAAACCAAACGAAAATGACGTTGTTGATTAGAATCTTCTTATAACATCCAGAGATGTTGACGGAATAGCTTGTTTTTTAATACTAAACAAAACTGCTAATTTAATTTTGTAGAATGTGTCACTTTGTTGTTAAATAAATTGTGTTGAATGTAATTGGATGGTTTAATTTGGTAATTACATTTAATAAGCTTTTTATATATTTTACTTGATATAACGTAAGCATAGAATGCTTGCCTATGGAGTGCTCGCCCATGAAGGAGCTCCCACAGTTGGATTCCGTGGGCGGGCTAGGATCAGCACTGGAGAACCCATCTTTAGCGCACCTAGATTATCCCAAGCGTAGGTCAAGATTCAGTACTCAATCTTGGCCAACCCAATAATTACCCGAGCCTGGGCCAAGATTGGGGATATTATTGCTTAAGATAATTTTTCTAGAACTTTCTGACCGTGCACCAAAATTAACAGTAAGATCAAAACAAGTAATAAATTTGATTTTCAGATCATATAAATTTATCTGTACTTTTAGTTGTCTAATTATTAAAGCCACACATTTATTTTTATTATAAAAATGAATCTTTCTAAGAATGATTAAAATGGTATCACAACTTCTAAACAGTCTTTACAAGTGTTACTGAAAAAAAAAATTTTTTTTCACAATTAAACAAAAAAATAGTATTTATCTTAATTAGATTATCAGCTTGGACTTAAAATATTTAAAAGTTTAGAAAAATTAATATTTATTTTCAGTATTTAACTAAAATTTATTAAATATTTCCGGTATGATATAGCTTAATATCTACGGTAACAGGAAATTACTTAATAATCAAACCAAAATATTGAATATGAATGGTAGTTTCTTTATTATTCTTATATTTTAGGATTAACAAAAAAACAACTGAAGAAAAATATTAAACGAAGAAAACCTGTAACTTTTCAGGGTGCTATGAAAGCTTTTTACATTTATTGGGATCTTGACAATCGAAACCCGATTCTGCAAGACTAGAGCATTTCATTTTTACAATATCCATATTGTGTTCTTCTATACACTCATTTGTAATCTTGTCGCAGCTCTTAGGAACTTTGTAGGATACTGAAGTACAAGTGCAATTTCCACAAGGATAGCTCTTGCTATCACCAATACTGTCTGAACTATTCTCATAGATGTCTTTGGAGTGGATACATAAACCTTCAATTGACCAAGAACCTTTGATACATTTGCATTTACCATTAACGCACTCTGCATGGCTTAAGCTATCGCAGCGATTATAATAGTCACATGGTCCATCAATTTCTAAATATGATAAACCGAAAAGAGAATGATGACTTAATGATCAGCGTTTATTGTCTAGTAATAACTGGTTACTGGTTATTAATTAGTTTCGAACAAATACTTACCGTATTTAATGCAGGTTTTATTATCATTAGACGGAAAATAACCATACTTGCATTCGCATTGCTGCCAATTGTTGCAGAAACTATTGTTTACGTTGCAATAACTGGTTTCTGTGCAACTACCGTTTATGTCCGCGAGACATCTATTGTCCTTCTGCGTATAACTCTTTTTACAAATACATTTATGGTAGGAAGTACACCTAGAATTTGGCAGATATCTACAACCTTCCCTTCCAAAGCAGGTATCTATCTCCAGTCCTGAAAATTTTAAATCAAATATTTGTATGTCATCTTTGATAATCAATAACTTTAAGAGAAATTCAAATTAATAAACCGGGCTAAATACCAGCTATAATCTATAAAGTAAAGGATTTATGTGATAAATGGGTTTTAACTGTAGTTAAATTTGGAATCATCAAGTAGGTCTTAGCGTACATTTTTAACTGTTCGTGGTTTCATATGATTTCTCGAAAAAGTTAATTTATTACAATAAGTTTTGTCAACATGTTTATTATCGACAGTTTAATTAATCAATATTTTTACAAATTTTATTTATTAGTATTTAACCGTTGCCAAAGTGGTTACCATAACAACGAAAAGCGACATCGATGAAAACGTCACATCAACTTTTTACTAAAGGATTGGCTGCCACATGAAAATCATGTAGCAGCCCCTATTTTTTTTCCGTTAAAAAAAATCGATTTTTTCGAATTTACAAAGTGGACACTTACCTCAAATATAAATTAGAATTTCAAGAAAAATTATTGCATAATTTTTCAAATATTATTTTTTCAATTTATTTTAAAAGTACCCAAACTATATGTGTAAAAATATCTAAAAATCATTGAGCTCAAGTTTTTATATTTATAATTCATGATTTATGCAGTCATAGTGACTGGAGGTTGCTAGTGATAATCAAATAATTGATAGATATACTCACGGTTAGCATATAGAGCACACCAATGGAGAGTATCGTTCCACTCAAAGTATGCCGTATTTTCGTCGCAATTGCATTCGCCCATTTTACAAATCCTGCCTGGACGATTTTTCTCACAGTCGTCTATGCAATTGAAAACAGTAGGTGTACATTTCCCGTCTTGGTTTTCAAATCCAGTTCGGCATTTGCATGCATTTTTCCGACATTCAGTGTTATTCATCAACTTGCACCCAATAGCTCTCTCGCAATGGCCTAGTAGTGCTACGGAATTTATTGAAAAACCCAATAATTAAAGTTACTAGTGATTATCTATTAGTTAATAAGTTACAGGTTAGTTTTTATTACTTTGTGCGTATTGGATGCAGACACTTTGGTTATTAGCTGGATAGTAGTTGTCTCTACAGCGACATCTGTAGAATTCATTGTCACAATATGAGTTTTGAAAAGTACAGTTTCGATCATGACTGCAGTCAATACCCAACAGAAATGTCGTCGGAGTTGAGTTCTCTTGAGTGGTGGTAAAAGTTACTACCATCAAAATGAATATCACGCTCGTTGATAACTTTAACTTCATTTTAAGTGTTATAACTTTTCAGACAATAACGCTGTACATAAAATTTAAGAAGTTAAAATCTGTAATTACAATTTTTAACTTCCCGCTAAGAAAATCGAAGATTTTCAAAAATCGGGAAGTTATTGGTTTTACCCCGTTTTCCAAAAATCGAGTTTTCATCAGATCTCGACGTTTGAAGGTCACAGGAAGCTTCCCTGACTATCCCCGCGAGGGTCTCACTATGTATGTATGGATGTATGTATGTATGTATGTATGTATGTATATATGTATGTATGTATGTATGTATGTATGTATGTATGTATGTATGTATGTATGTATGTATGTATGTATGTATGTATGTATGTATGTATGTATGTATGTATGTATGTATGTATGTATGTATGTATGTATGTATGTATGTATGTATGTATGTATGTATGTATGTATGTATGTAGTGTGTGTAGTATGTGAATCACTTATAACTTTTCTATGTATGTATGGATGTATGTATGTATGTATGTATGTATGTATATATGTATGTATGTATGTATGTATGTATGTATGTATGTATGTATGTATGTATGTATGTATGTATGTATGTATGTATGTATGTATGTATGTATGTATGTATGTATGTATGTATGTATGTATGTATGTATGTATGTATGTATGTATGTATGTATGTATGTATGTATGTATGTAGGTGTGTGTGTGTGTGTTTTTTTTTCCTTAGGGGGAGGGGAATCCTTTTTACGGATTCTAGGCATAGCTGTTTGGCCTGGATATGTGGCGACTCGACGCAGCGTCATACTAAAACTCGACGCTAACGCCCCTACCTACTAAACCCTAAACCCCTTTTCCTTCTTTCCTCTAATCCCCTACGGGACGACCTTAAGGTATTACTTCGCGGGGGGAAGATTTAGCTGCCGCTCTTCCTTCTGGTGGCTAAGGTGTCATTTCTACCTTCCTTCTAGATTCTGTCTTTTACTCTTTTTCTCTCGATGGAGCGCAGCTCTGTAAGCACTTCTGCGGCAAAGGTGCTTGTGGCGTTCCAGGCAGCTTCTGAGGACAGCATTGGTTCTACTATTGTCTCTGGTTGGATACTCTTGTTCAGGATTTTCTCTAGTTCCTCGCACTGTGGATTAAAACGAGGACACACAAAGAACACGTGTTCCACGTCTTCAGCGACACCTGGGCAGGACGGGCACTCTGGAGAATCATCGTGCTTAAAGCGATGAAGATAGGCTCGGAAGCAGCCATGTCCTGACAACATTTGCGTAAGGTAGTAGTTGACCTCGCCGCAGTTTCGGTTCAGCCAAACGTCGATCTTTGGTATAAGACGATGCGTCCATCTTCCCTTTTCTGCAGCAACCCATTGGAGCTACCATCGGCGTATGCTGTTCTGCCGTTCTTCCGCTCTGAGCTCTTCAGCGCTCAGTGTAGTTATCCTCTTTCGATAGTAAAGCTGCCGTCTTTCCTCAGCTAGGACTCTGAGAAGCAGAGTTCCGGAAATAACGCACACTGCTTCCTCGGATACTGTGCGGAAGGCGCTGGCTACTCTTAAGGCACTCAGTCGGTATATTGGTCCAGCCTTTCTCCATGATTCTTGCGCCTCGAGAGTGTCGGCCCAAATGGATATTCCATATGTGAGGACCGATGTGACTACAGATGATAACAGTAGTCTTCTGCTCTGCTTTGGCCCACCAACGTTGGGCATCAGTCGCGCTAGGCTACCTCTCACTACTGACGCTTTGGCACTGACGTGTTCCACCTGCTGCTTGAAATTGAGTCGAGCATCAAGCATCACTCCCAAATATCGGATATAAGATTGCGATGTGATTTCTTGTTCACTGACATCTAGCTTGATAGTTTCCATTATTTTTCTGCTCGTAATAAGTACTGCTTCTGTTTTATGCTTGGCTAGTTCCAAGTTTATCATCTCCATCCATAGATTAATCCGGCTAAATGTGATATCGAAGACTAAATTTATCTCTTCCAGTTGTTTCGCGACAATCACTACGGCTACATCATCGGTATATGCAACAAGCTTAACCTCTGATGGCAACGCAATTCTCAGGAGGCCATCCTACATGATGGCCTCTATAACAAAGGACCCAGAACTGAGCCCTGTGGTACTCCTCCGGTTATTTCGTACTCCTTTGGACCACTTTTTGTGTCGTATTTAAGAACTTGGTTTGTGAAGTAGTTTGCTACCATTCTACGCAGGTATTCTGGTACTTCTTTGTCTTCTAGGGCCCGCATAATGCAGTCCCAGTTAGCGGAATTGAAGGCATTCTTGATGTCCAGGGCAGCCACCAAACAATACTTTTTTGTACCACGCCTTCATCTACTTCCAGCAATTGCATCCTTAGCTGTATTGACAACCAGGTTGATTGCATTGAGAGTTGATCGTCCCTTCTGGAAGCCATATTGGTTGTTTGCGAGAAGTGGATCCACAATTGCTTCTATCCTTTGATGGATTATACGCTCTAATATCTTACCCAGCGTGTCTAACATACAGAGTGGGGGGTAAGATGATGGCTCTTCCAGTGGCTTTTTTCCTTTGGGAAGCAAGACTAGTCTCTGTTGCTTCCACCTTCTAGGAAAGGTCCCTTCTTTGAGACACGTATCGTAGGTTTCTAGGAATAGTGCTGGTGCTGCTTTAATAGCTGTTTTTAATGCAATGTTTAGGATTCCATCCAATCCTGGCGCCTTATTATTCCCTACACGATTACATGGCTCCATCAGAGAAGGGCTCGACCAAACTTAGATTTTGAACACAATTTGGACCTATTCGAACCGATAGATTTTGAGAAATCTCAAAAAAACTGAAAAAAAATTTTTTTGAAAGTGGTTTTTTTTTAATAATTTTTAAACGGCTCAATCGATCAACTCCAGAAACTAATCAGCTCTTAATCTTGAAAAACCACATCGATCGCCGAAAATCCGGCCAAAATCGGTTGATTCGTTCGAGAGATATCGTAAAGGAAAGAAAACCGAAAAAAGAGTTTTTTCGGAATTACTCCGAAATTTCTAGTTCGATCAATTCAAACTCAAAGATTCTTTATGAGGCTTAAAAACTGCATCGAATGCCTCCAACTGCGTGATAATCGATTCATTCATTCAAAAGTTATTGCGGTTTGAAAAATCGAAAAATAGTGTTTTATCAAACTTCTATCAGATTTTGAGGTGGACGAGCTCAAAACAACACACAAATTGTATTTTTGAGCTCGAAGAGCTCAAAACGGCATAAGTGCAATTTTAAGCGTCCTGGTATGGAATTATCGGGAAGTTGCAGGGATGGCCTTCAGGGTCAACCGTTTTCCTAATTTTTTTCCTAAAAAAATCATCGATAATGACAGAAGCAATGAAAAACATAACAAGAACTTAAAATAAATTTTATTCAGATGACTGAACGATAACACCGGCACTCAAACAAAAAGTGGTTTGTGCACTTGACAAAACCTACCTAGGGTTATATATCTCGAAGCGCTAAATCTGAATTTGTGGTTGGTTTGGTCTTTACACCCCCAAAATTTGAAGTAAATTGCAAGAAAATGCCAAAAAAATGCAGTTATGCAAATAAAAAAATTTTTTATTCAAACGCGTGATTGTTTTGCGCACTTTATGCCGGCTGCGATGCAAACCCTAAATGGCTATGCAAGATCTTAAAAAGTTGCAATTATGCAAATGAAATAAAATTTGTTAATTTAGTTCTTAATCAAGTATTTTTAACTTCCCGCTAAAAATCTCAGATTTTCAAAAATCGGGAAGTTATTGTTTTCATCCCGTTTTGCAAAAATCGAGTTTACATCAGATCTCGACGTTTTAAGGTCATAGTAAGCTTTCCTGACTACCCTCGCGGTGGTGTCCGTATGTGTGTGTTTTTTTTTTTTTTTTCCTTTAGGGGGGGGGGAATCCTTTTTACGGATTCTAGGCATAGTTGTTGGCCTGGATATGTGGCGACTCGACGCAGCGTCATACTAAAACTCGACGCTAACGCCCCTACCCACTAAACCCTCAACCCCTTTCCTCTTTCCTCTAATCCCTCATGGAAACCGCCGTCAGGCATTACTTCGTGAGGGGAGGATCTAGCTACTGCTCTTCCTTCTGATGGCTAAGGTGTTAACTACCTTCCTTCTATACTCTGCTATTTGCTCTTCTTCTTTCGGTGAAACGCAAGTCTTTGAGGACTTCTGTTGCAAACGTGTTAGTAGCGTTCCAGGCAGCTTCTGATGACAACATTGATTCCACTAGTGAATCCGGTTGCAATCTCTGGTTCAGGATCCTCTCCAGCTCTTCACGCTGTGGCTCGAAACGAGGACATACAAAGAAGACCTGCTCCGCATCTTCAGCAACTCCTTGGCAGGTCGGGCACTCCGAAGAGTCATCGTGCTCAAAGCGGTGTAGATACTCTCGAAAACACCCATGTCCCGACAA